ATTTTTTGACCTTGAGAAGGCATATGACACAACTTGGAGGTATAATATTTTAGCCCAAACCCACTCCTTAGGCCTTCGAGGCAATCTACCATCCTTCCTTAAGAACTTTTTAACTGACAGGCATTTCCGTGTTCGGGTTAATAATGTGCCCCTCCCCGGACTTTATCCAAGTGAAGGTGTCCCCCAGGGATGTTTTTCTGAGCACAACACTTTTTCTCCTTGCTATTAATGATTTGGCCTCTAGTCTTCCATCAAATATTTGGTCATCACTCTATGTTGATGACTTCGCTATTGCCTGTGGCAGGCGCTGACTGTCACCTCATTACAGTTTCTCCCCCAGCATGCAGTCGGACCGTGTTTCCAATTGGGCCACCACACATGGGTTTAAATTTTCCAGCACTAAAAAACCCCCCAAATTACTTTCACTAGACGCTCTGTCATCTCCGATCATCCCTTGTACCTCTATGGGTCCCCTATCCCCGAAAGTGATACAGTCAAGTTTCTGGGCCCCCTCTTTGAACTGTAGGTTATCTGGAAACCTCACATTGCCTCTCTGAAGGCAACTTGTCCACAGCCGGCTGAAAACCCTTTTAAAACCCTTGTCATCTTTCATGGGGAGCTGATCGTCGAAAAACCCTCCTTTGCCTACATTCCACCCTCATTTTATCGAAACTTGATTATGGTGACCAGATCTATTCAGCGGCATCTCCTGCTACTCTCTCTAGGGCCCTTTAAACCCCCTTCATCACCAAGGATTACGTTTATGCCTTTGTGCTTTTCGCTTTCCCTGTCGAAAACTCTATGCAGAAGTGAATGTTCCACTTTTATCCGATCACCGTGATGCCCATTGCCTTCGCTACTATGTACGCTCTCAATGATCTCCGCAATCCTTCCATTTATAGAATGGTCACTGATATTAGTAGACATTCTTTATTTGTTCGCCGCCCCCGTTTACTCCGTCCCTTCTCTCTTCCCTTCATTCGCTCATCTTCTCTTCAATTACCACCTTTCTATGTTCATGTAGCATCTCACTTTTCCCTACCCCCCTGGGAAGTTCCAGCTGTTCGAGTCTGTTCTTTCTCTCTCCCCTTTCTCGAAAGCCCAACTGTCTACGGGCGCTTTCCCACCTTTTCTTTTTTTTTACCACTTTCACTCTCATTCTCATGCCATTGCTGTGTACACAGATGGCTCTAAGTCTTCTGACGGTGTAGGATTCGCAGCAGTGTTTCCGGACAGCGTCGTATGAGGGCATTTACTATCTTCGGCTAGTATTTTTACTGCTGAATTGTATGCCATCCTTGCAGCACTTATCCGTATTGCATCTATGCCTGTGTCATCATTTGTGGTTGTCTCAGACTCCCTTAGTGCTTTACAGGCTATACAGAAATTTGATACACCTCACCCCTTAGTCCTCCGTATCCAACTTTGGCTACGCCGCATCTTTACCAAGCATAAAGATATTGTTTTATGTTGGGTCCCTGGTCATGTTGACGTACAGGGCAATGAACAGGCAGACACTGCTGCGCGGTCAGCAGTACATGACCTACCAGTTTCATATAGAGGTATTCCATTTACGGACTATTTTGCTGCAATATCTTCCCACCTTCACACCCGTTGGCAACATCGTTGGTCTACTATGCTCGGCAATAAACTTCAATCTATTAAACCGAGTATAGGTTACTGCCCGTCTTCTTATCACCAGTGTCGAGGTTGGGAGACTACTCTCTCCTGTCTTCGCATTGGCCATACTCGTCTTACTCATGGATATCTCATGGAGAGGCGCCCTGCTCCTCTATATGAGAATTGCCAAGCTCCATTATCAGTCAGCCACATTCTGTTGGACTGCCCACTTTATCAACGAGCACGCAGAATTTACCTCCGTTGTCGTCTACGCTCCGCTGCTCTCTCTTTACCTTCCCTTCTCGCTGATGGACCAACCTTTCATCCGGACTCTCTCATTGACTTTTTGACAACAACTGACTTGCTTCACAAATTCTGATACCTTCAGCCCTTTCTACTTCAATCTCTTGCTACCCTCTACCCCCGTACTATCCCTGCCCCGCTGTTTTCTGTAACCTACTGATCATCCCTCTCCCTTCTGCCATCCAATACCCTCGCTTCCTTCCCTACCTTGCAGTGCTGTATAGCCCTTGTGGCTTAGAGCTTCTTTTTGATTATAATAATAATAATAATATGATTTTTTTAATGTAATATCTATTACAGTATTATCTCTAAAGATAGTTATTTTACAGAAGCATTTTGAAATTATCACTGATTTCACTGTTGTACTTGCAAAAATATTGCTGATTTCAGGCTATTATAATTTCAGAATCATTCATTTCACTGTTGTACTTTCAAAATTATCATTGATTTTGCTGTTGTTCTTTCAAAATTATCACAGATTTTCGAGTAGTGTAACTTCAAAATGATCAGGAATTTCAGGCTATTAATATTTCATTGATACCCACTGAGCAAAAGTATATTTTTTACATATTAAATAAAAGTGTATTTGACAATTTTTTTTTCGTGATTGTCGTATATTCAAGGGCCTTGAGAAATTTGAAGTGGGTAAATCATAAATAATTTTTGATGAAGAGGCATACAATATTAATTTATTTTTAAACTTTCAGCAATTTATGGGCTATAATTCAGTTTCTGTATAGAAAACACAGTAGAACCTCTGTATCCTTGGATTCGATTTCTGCAGTTTCAGTTATCAGTGCTTTCCGTGGACCGAAAACAATCCTTAATTTTGCTTAACCCTTTTAGGGTCTCTGCTGTAATACTACGGCTTTGAACTCTTAGTTGGTGCCGTACAACTACGCCATGAGCTTAGCTTGCTCTGATAAGCAGTGAGTGGTAAATTTTGGCCTAGATATGAGAGAATAGGTCTGTGCAATTAGTGACCAGTATATAAAAAAAATCCTGCCCCATGCAGTGCATAATCAGATATAAACTTTGTATTTTTGGTTCTGACCCTGAAAGGGTTAATACTGACACCAAAGCGCAAAAGTAATGATGGTGGTAGTTCTTCAAAGTCTAAGAGAATCTGTGAAGTGCTTCCCATCAGTGAAAAAGTGCTAATTCTCCACTTACTGTGTATAATTTATCAATTAAACTTTATCATAGGTAGGTCTTGGAACATATCCCCCACAGTTACAGGGGGGGGGGACTACTGTAGTTCATAAAAATGACCATTCTAAAAGATTATGAATTCTGCAATTTTGCTAAGGTACAATTCCTTACTATGGTTACAGTTGCCTCCACTGTTGTTGAAGTGCTATTAGTAGTATTCCTAGTAGTTTATCAGAGTCCATACATAGAATACAACACTTTGAAGATTGAAAAACCACTCTATGTGTTAAGTTCAAAGAATGACTCGGGTCGTTTCAAAAAAGCTTCCATGGCAATGACAGTTCCCAGAATATTCAACAGAAATTGGAAGTATCATATACAAAGGGTTAGCAATACTGATAAGTTGACAGAAGGTTTCACCTGCAGGATTCATCATCGAGTGTAAAGGTGAATACAGTGCTGGAGGACTTAGAAGTGGAAAGGTAGTTTTGAGGGGATCAGTTTCTCAGCCTTGATAAAAGATACACAAATAACCCTCACATAGGAGAATAAAACTTATGACAATGTTTCAGAGCATCTTAGATCTTAACTACTATTACTTTTGCTACTACTACTACTACTACCACCACTACTTCCACCACTACTACCATCACTACCACCATCACTACCACCATCACTACCACCATCACTACCACCATCACTACCACCACACTACCACCACCACTACCACCACCACTACCACCACCACTACCACCACCCACTACCACCACCACTACCACCACCACTACCACCACCACTACTACCACCACTACTACCACCACTACCACCACCACTACCACCACCCACTACCACCACCACTACCACCACCACTACCACCACCACTACCACACACTACCACCACCACTACCACCACCACTACCACCACCACTCCACTACACTATCACACACTACACTACCACTACCATACTACTACTACACACTAACCACTACTACCTACTATCACTACTACCACTACTACTACACTACCTACTACTACTACTCACTACACTACTACATACTACTAACTACTACTACTACTACTACTACTACTACTACTACTACTACTACTACTACTACTACTACTACTACTACTACTACTACTACTACTACTACTACTACTACTACTACTACTATATACTACTACTACACCACCACCACCACCTCTATTACTACCACCACCTCATTTTCCTGGCCCCGCTCCCTCTCGCATATATACTGGCTCCCTCTCGCACTTCTGTGTGACTAGTTAATGGATGGTCCAAGTCAGATCAAAACATCATCATAACTTTGTCTCCTATGTGTGTGTTATTTGTCTATTCCAGTCATGGTATTGTGACTATTCTTTTTTGATAAAAGATGATCAGTCACTTTGTCTTAGGTGAAGAAATATGAAGGGGGCCAACTGAACTAAAAACAATATGGATGCTTTGTGAAATATTGGAAAGTGCACATAGACTTGAAGGCAACAATGAATATTTTTCCTGCTTTCTTGCATGCACAGTATTTGTTTGCATTTCTGATGTTTAGCAATGTATAAGTTTTTTCAAAACTATGCATGGCCTGTTCCTTGATAATTTGTATACGGTTAATTCATGAGTAGAGTGTATTGTAGTCCTACTTTAAATTATTTAATTTTGCTAATTTTATGTTGTGTTTATATATGTAATTCTGTATACATGACAGATTAGTCAAAATTTTATGAATGTACTCGTACTTTCAATTTTTCAGTGTAGTTGCAATTTCTCCTCTGTGCATATAAAGCATAGATCTCTCACAGTGTTGTTATTGTAATAGTATTTGTCTAACATTTGCCATTGTTATATGCAAATAATGAGGGACCTGCTTTACTCAGGCACGGTGATACTAACATTGTTGCTTTCATGCAGGCGAAATATAATTAATGAGATCATGCAAGCAACTGCTATCAACAACCTGAAGAAAGCCAAAGGAGTGGACCTCAGCAGGGAAAGTACACCTCAAGGGTCTGGAAAGGGTGATTTGCTTCAGGTACACATAAAAATGGCTAGGATATATAAAGAATGAAAAGGCACAATACTGTGACTGGAACAATACGCAGATAACCAGCACAGGAGAGAGAAACTCATGACGACGTTTCGCTCCAACATGGGCAATTAATTAGTTGCATACTAGTTACAATACACGCAGAAACTTATGATGACATTTCGGACTGAAACATCATCATGAGTTCCTTTCTCGTACGTGTGGGTTATTTGTTAGTGTAGGACATATAAATCTGGGGTGAGGACTAAGGATGATACAATGTTTGTACAGGGATGGGTGACATTAAGGTGTGCATGCAGAAAGCCCCTTAGTGTGTAGAGCATTTTTGGCAAACTTAAGACTATCTTAAGATTAATAAGGCAGTAATTAATTGATTGCTTGTATATGCAGTCTCTAAGTTGTTATAACAATAAATTTAGTGAATACAATGAATACATTTATCTAGTTTAATTGTTGTAAGGAAGGGTAGGGATGCTCCCAGGAAAGGATAGAGAGAAAGGGGAAAAGGAGGTTTTTGAGTGCTAGGGACTTGAACATGCAATAGGCTTGTGTAACTGCAAAGCAGTTTCACAAAAACCATATGCCTCAACTTGTTTTGATCCAAAGGGTCAAAACAAGTTGAGGCAAATGGTTTTTGTGGCCTGGGTAGCTGGACTTGAGTCCTGGAGGTGGGATGTGCAGTGCCTGCACTTTTAAAGGAGAGCTGAGGGTGCTATAGTTTGGCAGTTCATCTGAAGAGTGATGTTAGCATGCTTCTGGCAAGACAGTCATTGAATGAATGATGGTGAATGTGTTTACTCTTTTTTGGGTCACTCTACTGTGGTGGGAGATGACTAGTGTGTTGAAAAGAAAATATGTTAAATATAATGATAAATCTTCTCATTTCCCGAGTCTGGTACAATTCCTACAGGTTTAGAGTCTACATTATCTCCCATTCCTGAGGTGCTGTATGGCTCTATGGGTTTAGGACTTTTCTCATGAATATAATAGCTACTGTACCTTCTGTTCCCCAGGTACTATAGGACTCCTGTTGGGTTTTGCACTTCACCTTGAGCTGTTATATATGTGTGCACCTCCGGTGGCAAGACAGTGATAGTGTGCATGATGTTGAAAGTTTCTTTTTATGGGTCACCCTCCTTCAGTGGGAGAGAGCCAGTGTGTTAATAATAATACAAGTGAGATTAACAAGTTAAGAAAGCCTAGAGAACAAATGGATTTGTCAGTTAAAAATAGGAGAGGAGAGTTATTAAATGGAGAGTTAGAGGTATTGGGAAGATGGAGGGAATATTTTGAGGAATTGTTAAATGTTGATGAAGATAGGGAAGCTGTGATTTCGTGTATAGGGCAAGGAGGAATAACATCTTTTAGGAGTGAGGAAGAGCCAGTTGTGAGTGTGGGGGAAGTTCGTGAGGCAGTAGGTAAAATGAAAGGGGGTAAGGCAGCCGGGATTGATGGGATAAAGATAGAAATGTTAAAAGCAGGTGGGGATATAGTTTTGGAGTGGTTGGTGCAATTATTTAATAGATGTATGGAAGAGGGTAAGGTACCTAGGGATTGGCAGAGAGCATGCATAGTTCCTTTGTATAAAGGCAAAGGGGATAAAAGAGAGTGCAAAAATTATAGGGGGATAAGTCTGTTGAGTATACCTGGTAAAGTGTATGGTAGAGTTATTATTGAAAGAATTAAGAGTAAGACAGAGAATAGGATAGCAGATAAACAAGGAGGCTTTAGGAAAGGTAGGGGGTGTGTGGACCAGGTGTTTACAGTGAAACATATAAGTGAACAGTATTTAGATAAGGCTAAAGAGGTCTTTGTGGCATTTATGGATTTGGAAAATGCATATGACAGGGTGGATAGGGGGGCAATGTGGCAGATGTTGCAGGTGTATGGTGTAGGAGGTAGGTTACTGAAAGCAGTGAAGAGTTTTTACGAGGATAGTGAGGCTCAAGTTAGAGTATGTAGGAAAGAGGGAAATTATTTCCAGTAAAAGTAGGCCTTAGACAAGGATCTGTGTGTCACCGTGGTTGTTTATATATTTATAGATGGGGTTGTAAAAGAAGTAAATGCGAGGGTCTTGGCAAGAGGCTTGGAGTTAAAAGATAAAGAATCACACATAAAGTGGGAGTTGTCACAGTTGCTCTTTGCTGATGACACTGTGCTCTTGGGAGATTCTGAAGAGAAGTTGCAGAGATTGGTGGATGAATTTGGTAGGGTGTGCAAAAGAAGAAAATTGAAAGTGAATACAGGAAAGAGTAAGGTTATGAGGATAACAAAAAGATTAGGTGATGAAAGATTGGATATCGGATTGGAGGGAGAGAGTATGGAGGAGGTGAATGTATTCAGATATTTGGGAGTAGACGTGTCAGCTGATGGGTCTATGAAAGATGAGGTGAATCATAGAATTGATGAGGGGAAAAGGGTGAATGGTGCACTTAGGAGTCTGTGGAGACAAAGAACTTTGTCCTTGGAGGCAAAGAGGGGAATGTATGAGAGTATAGTTTACCAATGCTCTTATATGGGTGTGAAGCATGGGTGATGAATGTTGCAGCGAGGAGAAGGCTGGAGGCAGTGGAGATGTCGATGTCTGAGGGCAATGTGTGGTGTGAATATAATGCAGAGAATTCGTAGTTTGGAAGTTAGGAGGAGGTGCGGGATTACCAAAACTGTTGTCCAGAGGGCTGAGGAAGGGTTGTTGAGGTGGTTCGGACATGTAGAGAGAATGGAGCGAAACAGAATGACTTCAAGAGTGTATCAGTCTGTAGTGGAAGGAAGGCGGGGTAGGGTCAGCCTAGGAAAGGTTGGAGGGAAGGGTAAAGGAGGATTTGTGTGCGAGGGCTTGGACTTCCAGCAGGCATGCGTGAGCGTGTTTGATAGGAGTGAATGGAGACAAATGGTTTTTAATTTGACGTGCTGTTGGAGTGTGAGCAAAGTAACATTTATGAAGGGGTTCAGGGAAACCGGCAGGCCGGACTTGAGTCCTGGAGATGGGAAGTACAGTGCCTGCACTCTGAAGGAGGGGTGTTAATGTTGCAGTTTTAAAACTGTAGTGTAAAGACCCTTCTGGCAAGACAGTGATGGAGTGAATGATGGTGAAAGTTTTTCTTTTTCGGGCCACCCTGCCTTGGTGGGAATCGGCCAGTGATAATAAAAAAATAAATAAATAATAATAATAATAATAATAATAATAGTGATGTTGATAATAATACAGTAATATAATAATAATAATAATAATAATAATAATAATAATAATAATAATAATAATAATAATAGTACAGCCTCTCCTCACTTAACGACAGGATTCCATTCCTAAGAGTAGGTCGGTAAACGAATTGGTTGTTAAGTTAGGGGCATACTATACTGGTAGGGGGTTTGTGTCAACCATCTTTAGATATTTTTTTATGTCACCTTTGCACCATTTATAACATTTCTTGTATATTTTTAAATGTTTATACACTAGTGTACCGTATTCTGTAATAAACAGAATAGTGGAAATTCACTCTAATATACATGATTTAGGTTTGCACACTGGTTGGAGAGCTGGTCGTAAGTCCGAGTGGTCGGTAAACGAGTACATCACTAAGTCAGAAGAGGCTGTAATATAATAATACTATAATAATACAGTACAGCCTCTCCTCACTTAGTGACGTACTTGTTTACCGATGACTCAGACTTAAAACGGGCTCTCTGATCAGTATGCATACCTAAATAATGTACAGTGGTCCTTCAATAATTGTCCATAATTCATTCCTGGAAGTGGGACTATTATCGAAATGGACGATTTACGAATCAGTTTTCCCCATAAGAAATAATGTAAATTCAATTAATCCATTCCTGACACCCAGAAGTATTAAAACAAAAAAATTTTTTAACATGAAATATAGATGTAGTACATAAACAATACAATGGCACATGATGAATTAAACATTAACAGAATAACACTTACCTTTATTGGCGATTCTTCTTTGTGTATGGAAGACTGGAGAAGGAGACTGATTGGATGATTTATTGTTTGGAAGGGGAATCCCCTTCCATCAACGCCTCGGGTACCAATTGCTTTTCTGGGGTTACTTCTCTTCTCTGTCTCTTAATGCCACTAGGACCACCTTGAGAGTCACTGGAGTCCTGTCTCACAAAAAAACTGTCCAGAGAGCTCTGTTTCTGGTGTCTCTTTAAAACTTCCCTAAAATGGGCCAAGACTCTGTCACTGTACAAGTTGCTGATATGGCTTGCAACATCCTTCTCTGGGTGATGTTTCTCCATAAATCTTTCCATCCTACCCCACATTTCAAAAATCTCCTTAATTTCTGAAGAAGGCACCTTCCTCCATCTCTCTTCCTCCTCCTCTGCAGCAAGATTCTGAGCTGCGATCTGTTGCTCTTCCTGCTGAAGCTCTTGCAGCTCCTCAGTGCTTAGCTCTTTGTTGTGGTCCTCCACCAACTCTTCCACATCCTCCAAACTCACATCCAACCCCATGGAACTCCCCAGTGCCACAATGGATTTAACAACTGACATAGGCTCATCAGGGTCAGCCCCAAACCCTTCAAAATCCCTCTTGTGGACACACACTGGCCACAGTTTTCTCCAAGCAGAGCTCAAAGTCCTGGTAGTCATTCCCTCCCAAGCCTTACCTATAAGGCTTACGCAATGGAGAATGCTGAAGTGTTCTTTCCAAAAATCTCGTAGGGTCAAGTGAGTGTCTGAGGTCACATTCAAGCACCTTTCAAACATTGCTTTGGTGTAGAGTTTTTTAAAGTTTGCAATGACCTGCTGGTCCATGGGCTGGAGGAGAGGAGTGGTATTCGGGGACAAGAACTTTACTGTGATGAACCCAAACTCCTTCAAAATTAGGTCATCCAAGTTTGGAGGATGAGCAGGTGCATTGTCCATTACTAGGAGGCACTTGAGATGCAATTTCTTTTCCAGGAGGTAATTCTTCACACTAGGGCCAAACACTTCATTGAACCACTCTACAAAAATTTCCCTCGTGACCCATGCCTTACTATTAGATTTCCAAAACACACACAATTTACTCTTCATAACATTGTTTTTCTTGAAAACTCTGGGATTTTCAGAATGGTACACTAGTAACGGCTTCACTTTGAAATCCCCACTAGCATTAGCACAGAACATTAGCGTCAGCCTGTCTTTCATAGGCTTGTGTCCTGGCAGTGCCTTTTCTTCCTGAGTAATGTAGGTCCTCTTTGGCATTTTCTTCCAAAAGAGGCCTGTTTCATCACAATTGAACACTTGTTCAGGTTTCAGTCCTTCACTGTTTATGTACTCCTTGAATTCATGCACATATTTTTCAGCCGCCTTGTGGTCCGAACTGGCAGCCTCACCATGCCTTACCACACTGTGTATGCCAGTACGCTTCTTAAATATCTCAAACCAGCCTTTGCTGGCCTTATTAAATTCACTCACATCATCACTAGTTGCAGGCAATTTCTTTGCCAAATTGTCATGCAACTGCCTAGCCTTTTCACAAATAAGCGACGTCATAAGACTATCTCCTGCTAATTGTTTCTCATTTATCCACACCAATAATAACTTTTCAACATCTTCTAGTAATGGTGATCTCATTTTTGTCAGCATATTTACCTCCTTTGCAACAACAGCGTCCTTGATTTCCTTTTTCTTGGCTATGATAGAAGATATGGTTGTACGGGATTTGTTATACATCCTGACCAGTTCGCCCACACGTACGCCACTATCATATTGTTCAATGATGTTTTTCTTAAATTCAATCGTATTTCTTACCTTCTTTACCAAAGGCTTGGCACTACGAGCTTTCTTTGGAGCCATGGTAGCTTATTTAGCACTTAAATAACTTGCAAGCACTAAAATAAATGGAATATTATGAAATATTTCGCTGGAGCACGTGAGGGGACCGTCGCTCACTGGTAAACAATGGCACACTGGCTGGGAAGGAAAGGCCGAGGCGGCTCGAGGCGGCTCAGAGCGTGAGTACGCGTCTGGGACAAAGGACTATTAGCGAGTTACCGGACCATTTGCGAGCCAATATTTTGACGAAAAAACAGGACTATTTCTGAAATGGACGACTTTCAGGCCGGACGATTATTGAGGGACCACTGTATATTAATTAAATAATGTATATTAGGGTTGATTTCCTCTTTTCTGTTTATTACAGTATACAGTACACTTCTCTATAAAGATTTAAAAATATACTAAAAATGTTATAAATGGTGCAAAGGCGACGTTAAAACAACAAAGATGGTTGACACAAACCCACTACCATAATAGTATGTTCCTTGATTAGCTACGAATTCGTTTACTGATGTGGTCTTAGGAACAGAACTCTGTCATTAAGTGAGGAGAGGCTGTAATATAATAATAATAATTTCTCTTCTGTGTTCTTATAATAGGCCAGGAATCTTAAGCGTTACATCAACCAGCTGACCTATGCTAAGGCCCAGTGTGAGCGCAGGATACATATCCTCAACAGTGGAAAGGGAGCAGTTGAATTGGGTGGAGGTGGAGGAGGAGTTGGCAGTTCAGATGTTACGACAAGTTTGTCTGATTCGTTCTCTCACTCTCTACAGAACCTACCTGGGAGGAAGGTTGGTATCTCAGTGTATAACCCATAAGGATTTAGTGTTTTTTCTCTAATATAATAAATCTGTATAAGTTGGGGTTGAAAAGATGTGTTGGAGGGAGGGGGTAAGGAAGGTTTTGAGTGCTAGGGGCTTGAACATCCAGCAGTTTGTGTGAGTGTATTAGATAGTAGTGAGTGGAGGCAAGTTATTTTTATGGCTTGATGTTCTGTTGAAACATGAGCAAGGTAACATCTGTGCAGGGATTCAGGGAACCTGGTTAGCTGGACTTGAGTTCCTAACTACAGTATCCAACCCCTCTGAAGGAGGGGTTGGGATACTGTAGTTCAGAGGGCACATAAATTGTGAGGTCTAAGTACCTCCAACAATATAGTTATTGAAGGATTGATGGTAAATGGGTTTCATTTTTTTGGGTCACCTTACCTTGGTGGGAGACAGCCATCGTATTAAAAATATGATAATAATAATATTAATAATGTATATTAGTATAACATTATTATTGTTTATATTTAAATTTGTTGCAGAGAATAATAAAATATTTTTATTAAGTCTCAGTTAATGGAGGGTCATCTCATATAAAACTAGTATATTTATTTTACTAATGCAGTATTCTCTGTTCTAGATTCTTATGTTCCAAGCACTGCTAGAGTCTGCATTTGCACGTCGTTACTTCTCGATCTACCTCGACGAAATTGGACAAGGTGCCTTCATCAGTTTCTGGTCAGCAGTTCAAGAGATCCGTCATGCAGATAAGAAGCTGCACCACCAGTTAGGAACAGAGATCTACTATACTTACCTTAGCCCTCATCCTCCTCCAGTCAAGGTTGATAAGGTATATACATTAGTGTACTTACCTGTTTGTGGTTGCAGGGGTCAGTTCTCAGCTCCTGGCCCTGCCTCTCTGCTGGCCCCTACTGGGTTTACTCTCTCATGGCTACTGGAGCCCTGTTATACATATTCTTAAAACTGTGTATGTGTGTGTGCCTGCATTCCTTGTGGGCATACATATGTATATAGAGCAGCATAGGTTCAGCAAGAGGGTGAATAAATGTGGGGTGGATGGTAGGAGGCATAGTTGTACCAGGAAGGGGTGAAGGTAGTCTTGTTAGATCGGTGTAAATGACGACGAGGGATTTGACGTACTGTCAGAGTGTGAGAAAGGTAACTTTATAAAAGGATTCAGAGAAACTGATTAGTTGTACTTGATTCCTGATGGTGGAAAGTACAGTGCCTGTGCTGTGAAGAATGGGTAAGGATATTGCAGTTTAGAAAGTCATTTGAATTGTAATGTCTGTGCACTTTCAGTACGACAGCTAAGAAATTGGCATCAGTGAATTTTTCTTCTTTCAGTCACCTTACCTTGGAGCAGAACAGCTGATATTTATTGTATAAAGACACCTACAGAAATGGAAAAATAGTTGGCAAAAGATTCTGCAGTAATAAAAATGCCTTATAAGTGGCATGAGCAAGTAGTGGGAATGTATGCAAGGGTAATATTTAGCTTCAGATATGACCATAAGTCTTACAGGTTAGCCAGACTTGAGTCCTGGAGGTGGGAAGTACAGTGCCTGCACTCTGAAGGAAGGGTGGAGATATGTTGCAGTTTTTGAACTGTAGGATTGGCATTCTTCTGACAAGACAGTGATGGAGTGAATGATGATCAAAGTGTTTCTTCTCTTTCAGGTCACCTGGCCTCGGTGGAAAATGGTTGATGTGTTAAAAACACAAAAAGTCTTATTTCTTCATAATACCAAGGAAGAATTCTCAGTGATTGCAAAAAACTTTTGCCAACATTTTTCTATTCTGGAGGGTGTTTTGATATGTTATCAACTAAGGGTGACCCAAAGAAGGAAACAAATTCACCATAGACCCCCTGGTTGTCTTCAAGACCCCTGACTGTACATGACCAGCTGGGCTGTGGTTCGTATGTTGGATTGCATGTGACCAGCAGTAACAACCTGGTTGATCAGGCCCTGATCCACCATAAGGCCTGGTCATGGACCAGGCCATGGAGATGTTGACCCCTGGAACTCCCTCCAGGTATACTCCAGGTATCACTCATTCCCTGGCTGTCTTGCTTGAAATGACCCTCTGAACTGCATCATCCCTGCCCATTTTTCAGACTGGAGGCACTACTTCCCATATCAAAAAAAGTTCAGCTAACTGGTTTCCCTAAACCACTTCATATATATTACCTTGCTCACACTCTAACAGCACATCAAATCCCAAAAATTATTTGTCTTTACTCACATGCTATACAATATCTTACATTCTTCTTTCAACAGACCGGCCATATCCCACTGAGACAGGGTGGCCCAAAAAGAAAAGCTAAAGTTTCTCTTTTTAACTTTAGTAATGCCTTACATACTTTACAGTATATTATATGTATATATATATAGCCTATTAATTAATTACTTTTGCAAAATTATTCAGTGGGAGATGGCCAGAGTGTTAAAAAAAAAGATTTTTACAATGAAATTACAGTGGACCCCCGCATAACGATCACCTCCGAATGCGACCAATTATGTAAGTGTATTTATGTAAGTGCGTTTGTACGTGTATGTTTGGGGGTCTGAAATGGACTAATCTACTTCACAATATTCCTTATGGGAACAAATTCGGTCAGTACTGGCACCTGAACATACTTCTGGATTGAAAAAATATCGTTAACCAGGGGTCCACTGTATTTATATTTTGTTTAATTGAATATAATTCGACAGCACCTTACTTTCAGATAAAAAATTTAATAAATAAAATATATGAAATACTGATAAATGTGAAATAAGACACTCGCAATGTTAGAATATTTTCATGAGAAAATGCTTTGCCATGAATTACCATGTGTGGTGAAACATTTCCTCATTAAAATATAATATTGAACAAAAGTTTTCACATAGTGAAATGCAAAATTAATTAGAGTAGTTAGTGTTTATTTTGCTGCTATAATGTTAGTAGTAAAATATCTGAAGAATCTCATACATGGACACTTCAAAAATAATTTACAGCCGACTCTGCGTGGTGTAGAAGCTTTTCTTTTGGGCAACAGAGGCCCAGAAGTGTTGTATGAAATTGGAGAAGAGGTGGAGCGGACCCTGGAAGAGCGCCACTACACTGGCTTCTTGGTATCGTCCACATATCATGCTATGCTCCATCAAGCAGCTCTCCAGGGAGTGGATTTCATGACAGAATGTGCAGGTTAGTGCTGGTCTAATCTAACCTAGCCTAACCTAACCAAACCTAGCATAACTTAACCTAGCCTAACATAGTTCATATATCACAATCACCCTAATTGTATAATATATTGTACTCATCTTTATAGAAATAGTTTGTTTTGTATGAGTGATGAATGAATGAATGAATGGTGAATGCATTTCCTTTGAGACACCTGCCTTGGCAGAAAATGTCTGTTGAGGTAAAAAAAATTTTTTCAACAATATTCCTGCATCCCACCAAGGCAGTGACCCAAAGAGAAAAACAAAAGTAAAATATATACATATGTTTATTCTTTTTAGCATAAGAGGCAACTAAAATGGCAGAGCAAAGGGCTAGTAAACCTTCTCTTGTATAAAGTACTAAATTTAAAAATAAGAAAAACTTGTTTTTTCTTTACTGGGTCACCCTGCCTTATTTTATTAATTCATTGACTATTTCCCACCAAAAAAAGAGAAGAAACATTTTCATCATCACTCACTCCAGAAAAATATATGTATTTTGTCCCCTGACTTGCTCATTGATTTCTCGGGTCACCATATCTCGCTGATGTGTTAAAAAAATGATTCAATCTTACAGATATGTTTGTTTTCAGAGGAAGGAGGTGTTGGCAGCACCGAGGGCAGCAGCACTGAATCGGTGGAGCAGATGCAGATGCAGCTCTCTGATCATTCCTCCTATGCCCGCAATAAACTGGCGCACCTCCAGGAAAGACTTACCAATAAACTCCTGGTGAGTATGTAGAAATAAATTTCTGTTTTATCATTATTATCACTTCTCTCTTAATGTCTTCTGGTGTGTCTGTTGTAATATCTTGTTGTCTATTTAAATGTGATTAATATCTTGTTACTGGGTTATAATGGGATTAATATCTTCTCATTGTCACTGTTTGTTCACCATCTCTTAGAATTTTTACATAGCTTAAAATCATAGAGCCAGTTTGAAACCACTTAATAAATTCCAATTAACTTAAGAACACTGAATCAATTTAAATTATTAATACTTAAAATTGTACTGTTTTTGCTACCTCTCTCTCCTTACAATAATGCATATTTAAAATTGTACCATTCAGTAACCTATGCAGTCATTCTTAAGTCCAACATATGTACCTATACGGTATACATAAACACAGGAAAAATACCTACTGTACTCTAGTAAACAAAACACGTGATACAAATGAAATGAAGCTTATAATAAAGTTTGCAAATGCTAATGTAAATTCAATAAAACAAACGGTGAATAGGTGTTGGCCAAGGCAAATTGTTCATATTATCAAAAGTTCACAACACAAATGCTTGTATGTGGGGGGAATCTCCATAGTGTGTAAGCATTAGGATTACTCTACCTAAAATGCACCGAATCCTGGTGGTTTTCTTTTGTGCTGAACTACATTTTGTATATTGCATGAAAACTGCATTTTGTATACTGCATGTAAACTACATATTATATACTGCATGTAAACTACATATTGTATACTGCATGTAAACTACATTTTATATACTGCATGTAAACTACATATTGTATACTGCATGTAAACTACATTTTATATACTGCATGTAAACTACATATTGTATACTGCATGTAAACTACATATTGTATACTGCATGTAAACTACATATTGTATACTGCATGTAAACTACATATTGTATACTGAACTAAAAAATTGTTTTGTCTTGTTTGCAAATGTAATAATGTTGGTAGAATTACCCTCAATATGTTAGGTATAAGGACGCAATTGCAACTAATGTGACATTTTATGTAGCAACGTTTTGCTCTCTAGGAGCTTAAAGATTTGACAGTGCTCCTGGAGAGTGAAACATTGCCACAATAAAACTGTCACATTATAATAATAATAATAATAATAATAATAATAATAATACTGCTGCTGCTGCTGCTGCTGCTGCTGCTGCTGCTGCTGCTGCTGCTGTGCTGCTGCTGCTGCTGCTGCTGCTGCTGCTGCTGCTGCTGCTGCTGCTGCTGGCTGCTGCTGCTGTGCTGCTGCTGCTGCTGCTGCTGCTGCTGCTGCTGCTGCTGCTGCTGCTGCTGCTGCTGCTGCTGCTGCTGCTGCTGCTGCTGCTGCTGCTGCTGCTGCTGCTGCTGCTGGCTGCTGCTGCTGCTGCTGCTGCTGCTGCTGCTGCTGCTGCTGCCTGCTGCTGCTTGCGCTGCTGCTGCTGCTGCGCTGCTGCTGCTGCTGCTGCTGCTGCTGCTGCTGCTGCTCTGCTGCTGCTGCTGCTGCTGCTGCTGGCTGCTGCTGCTGCTGCTGCTGCTGCTGCTGTGCTGGCTGCGCTGCTGCTGCTGCGCTGCTGCTGCTGCTGCTGCTGCTGCTGGTCTGCTGCTGCGCTGCTGCTGCTGCCTGCTGCTGCTGCTGCTGCTGCGCTGCTGCTGCTGCTGCTGCTGCTGCTGCTGCTGCTGCTGCTGCTGCTGCTGCTGCTGCTGCTGTGCTGCTGCTGCTGCTGCTGCCTGCTTGCTGCTGCTGCTGCTGCTGCTGCTGCTGCTGCTGCTGCTGCTGCTGGCTGCTGCTGCTGCTGCTGCTGCTGCTGCTGCTGCTGCGGGCTGCTGCTGCTGCTGCTGCTCGCTGGCTGCTGCTGCTGCTGCTGTTTGCTGCTGCTGCTGCTGCTGCTGCTGCTGCTGCTGCTGCTGGCTGCTGCTGCTGCTGCTGCGCTGCTGCTGCTGCTGCTGCTGCTGCTGCTGCTGCTGCTGCTGCTGCTGGCTGCTGCTGCTGCTGCTGCTGCTGCTAGCTGCTGCTGCTGCTGCTGCTGCTGCTGCTGCTGCTGCTGCTGCGTGCTGCTGCTGCTGCTGCTGCTGCTGCTGCTGCTGCTGCTGCGCTGCTGCTGCTGCTGCTGCTGCTGCTGCTGCTGTCTGCTGCTTGCTGCTGCTGCTGCTGCTGCTGCTGCTGCTTAGTTGCTGCTGCTGCTGCTGTGCTGCTGCTGCTGTGCTGCTGCTGCTTGCTGCTGGCGGGCTGCTGTGCTGCTGCTGCTGCTGCTGCTGCTGCTGCTGCTGCTGCTGCTGCTGCTGCTGCTGCTGCTGCGCTGCTGCTGCTGCTGCTGCTGCTGCTGCTGCTGCTGCTGCTGCTGCTGCTGCTGCTGCTGCTGGTGGTGGTGGTGGTAGACAGCAACCGCCCAGGGAGGTACTACCGTCCTGCCAAGTGAGTGTAAAACGAAAGCCAGTAATTGTTTTACATGATGGTAGGATTGCTGGTGTCCTTTTTCCTGTCTCATAAACATGCAAGATTTCAGGTACATCTTGCTACTTATACTTACACTTAGGTCACACTACACATACATGCACAAGCATATATATACACACCCCTCTGGGTTTTCTTCTATTTTCTTTCTAGTTCTTGTTCTTGTTTATTTCCTCTTACCTCCATGGGGAAGTGGAACAGAATTCTTCCTCTGTAAGCCATGCGTGTTGTAAGAGGCGACTAAAATGCCGGGAGCAAGGGGCTAGTAACCCCTTTTCCCATATAAATTACTAAATTTAAAAAGAGAAACTTTTGTTTTTCTTTTTGGACCACCCGGCCTTGGTGGGATGCGGCCGGTTTGTTGAAAAAAAAAAATAATAATAATAATACATATCTTCCTAGGTAGTAGGTTGGTAGACAGAACCCGCCCAGGGAGGTACTACCGTCCTGCCAAGTGAGTGCAAAACGAAAGCCTGTAATTATTTTACATTATGGTAGGATTGCTGGTATCCATTTTTCTGTCTCATGAACATGCAAGGTTTCAGGTAGGTCTTGCTACTTATACTTAGGTCACACTACACATACATGTACAAGCATATAGTATATGCACACCCTCTGGGTTTTTCTTCTATTTTCTTACTAGTTCTTGTTCTTGTTTATTTCCTCTTACCTCCATGGGGAAGTGGAACAGAATTCTTCCTCCATAAGCCATGCGTGTTGTAAGAGGCGACTAAAATTCCAGGAGCAAGGGGCTGGTAACCCCTTCTCCTGTATATATTACTAAATGTAAAAGGAGAAACTTTAGTTTTTCCTTTTGGGCCACCCTGCCTCGGTGGGATACGGCCGGTGTGTTGAAAGAAGAAAGAAATAATAACAATATCTTTCTAGGTAGTAGGTTGGTAAACAGCAACCGCCCAGTGAGGTACTACCCTCTTGCCAAGTGAATGTAAAATGAAAGCCAGTAATTGTTTTACATGATGGTAGGATTGCTGGTGTCCTTTTTCCTGTCTCATAAACATGCAAGATTTCAGGTACGTCTTGCTACTTGTACTTACACTTAGGTCACACTACACATGCATGTACAAGCATATATATGCACACACCCCTCTGGGTTTTCTTCCATTTTCTTTCTAGTTCTTCTTCTTGTTTATTTCCTCTTACCTCCATGGGGAAGTGGAACAGAATTCTTCCTCTGTAAGCCATGTGTGTTGTAAGAGGTGACTAAAATGCCGGGAGCAAAGGTCTAGTAACTCCTTCTCCTGTATAAATTACTAAATTTAAAAAGAGAAACTTTTGTTTTTCTTTTTGGGCCACCCCGCCTCGGTGGGATACAGCCGGTTTGTTGTAAGAAGAAAGAAAGAATAATATCTTACTAAAAGTACATGTACATGGTATACAGGCCTAACTGACACCAATGACATCCTACTATATAGAAAGCCCCTTGTTATGCTGAGCATTTCGGGCAAATTAGGTCAGTTTTTGTTCCAGGATGCAACCCACACCAGTCTACTAACACCCAGGTATCCATTTTAAACTGATGGGTGAACAGGGACAGCAGGTATCTTATGGAAACACGTCCCTAATGTTTTCCAGCCATACTGGAGGAGATTCGAACCCTGAACCTCAGTGTGTGAGCTGAGTGCGCTAGCGATCGAGCTACGGAACACCACTGTTGCACTTGTGTCCTTTTACCTAACACGTTTGTAAATGAACAGATGCACAGTGCTCTGGCTACTTTATCATAGGCTATGTTTCACTCACTAGAATCTTTGTCAAATCTTAGAGCTCCTGGTGAGCAAAACATTGCTTACTATGAAGCACTGTTTCCCTCCATGGCAGGGTGACCAGATAAAGAAAAAACTATTTTTTTTTCCTCTTTCATTTAGTAATTTATGCTAAATGTAAAATGAAAAACTCATTCTTTCTTTTTAGGTCACCCTGTCTTGGTGGAAGAAGGCTTGTACATTAAAAAAAAAAAAAAGACTCTGAAGCAGGAATATATAAATCATTTATCAATTATTTCACTTTAAAGTCCAATTGGTTTTTCACAATTCCCTGATCAATGTTCATGACACTTTTCTCTGAGCACTAAGAAGGGTGTGCATGTGTATGTGTGTTGTTTCAGGCATTGCAAGCCTTGCGTCAGTGTGGGAAGGCAGATGCTAAAGTAATCACTCACCTAGAGGGGGAGATCAGCCAGCTTCGCAGCGACCACAAGCTGCTGGAGACTCACGTGGAGAGAACAGGGCTTTGGAGTGATAACATTGGTCGTTGGCGAGTACATGTCCAGAGCGTCCAGGTGAGTTTAAAAAGTGCTGTTCTGGTAGTATAGGTCGTTATAACACGATTTCTAAAATATTTAGGTTAATACCACACTTTCTTGAAGGATATCTTTTCAAGAGCTCAAAATAATTTATTCAGATTGGTTAAGCTTAGATTCAGAAAGGATATAGGAAAGTATTGGTTTGGAAATAGAGTAGTTGATGTGTAGAACAATCTGCCTAGTAGGGTCATTGAAGCTAAAACCTTAGATAGCTTCAAATATAGGTTAGATAAATACATGAGTAAGAGGGATTGGATTTGACCGGATTTGCACATGAGTTAATAGGGTTATCAAAGCTTATTCCTTGGATAACATTGATAATGAGTTGGGCAGATATTTTTGTTGGTGGGTTTGAATTTGAGAAGGACCTGTCTAGTATGGGCTAGTAGGTCTGTTGCAGTGCTCCTTCTTTCTTATTTTCGTATGTTTTTAAGATACATCTGAATGTTTTAAGTTAAACATCCATATCTGAAAGTGAAGATGTGATTATACAGTATGTTATAGGGTATCAGAGAATAGAAAGTTTACATTTTTAGAATATATATTCTTTCTTTCTAGCTCATTGAGGAAAAAGATATTCCACACCTGGTGTTATTAGTTCACCTAAATTCCGAAGAGATAAAAAGCTCATCATTCCAAGATCTTTCTTCAGCATCTGTCTCGGCACCGTCTGCTGTATCAGTGTTGTCCCCTGCTGCTGTGGATGCCCTCGATCCATCTGCCTTGAGCTCTGGACCTGCACATGGCTGGGTTATCGTGAGGAAATTGCCACAGCTTATTGATCTGCATAGAAAACTATGGTAAGTTACTAATGAATTTTTATTTTTTCAACATACAAACCATCTCCCGTTGAGGCAAGGTGACCTGAAAAAAGAAGGAAACTAAAGTTTTTCTTGTTTTTACATTTCGTAATTTGTACAGGAGAAGGGGTTACTGACCCCTTGCTCCTGGCCTTAATGAAAATATATTAATTTAAAAAATTTTGCTGGTAATAAGCATATTTCACTTGCACACCAGTAACTCTGAGAAACTGATATCATGTGATACATTACTAAATTTAAAAAGGAGAACTTTTTTTTTTTTTTTTTTAGGTCACCCTGTCTTGGTGGGATACGGCTGATTTGATAAAAAAAAAAAGCTCATCAACTACACGAGAGTTATTAAGACTGTATGAACCATGGAACAGGTGGGATTTGAGCCCATGGCAAGCGAATCCTGTGAATTTTAGGACTCTCTGTCATGGTTCAAACGTCACCTGATCTTTGGTTTGTTTGCGGTCATGCTTTTATGATTTTATGAGTCAAGATTGTATAACCAGTACACCACAGGTCAAGAATACTTAATCTTTAATATGGGTACAAGAGGACCCCGCTTATACAGCAGGTTAGGTTCCGGGCTACTACTTTAAAGTTAATTATAGCTTTGTTTCACTTCCAGAAGTATATAAAAGCCTGATGACTTGATTACATTGTCATATATTAAAGTGAGCAATACAGCTAGGTCTAAAAAATGTACATACAATACACACATTACTTTTTTTCTTCATCAATCTGGCCTATATCCCACCAAGGCAGGGTGACCTGCCTTGGTGGGATATGGCCAAAAGTTTTTCTTTTTAAATTTAGTAATGTATACAGGAGAAGGGGTTACTAGCCCCTTGCTCTCGGCATTTTAGTCGCCTCTTATGACATGCATGGCTTATGGAGGAAGGATTCTGTTCCATTTCCCACATGGAGAACACTCATTATTTACCTTAAAGTATTTTCATACTTAGTTTATAGTGAGTGGTGAATATATTTATATAGGAAGTCTGAATAAATGGAGACTGGGTATAATTGACAACCTCTGTAGTATTAGGAAATTGCCATAAAGCGAAGTGCTGTAAACCAAGGCCCTCCTGGAGGCATTAAGGTGAACTTTGTATACACATGGTGAGAGAAACAAACAATCCAAGTGTATATACATTGCTGCTCTTAGTGTATACATATTGAGAGAAATGCCTCCTTATTAAAACACAGGCTTATATCACCAGTATAGCAGGTTAGGTTCCAGACGGCTTTTTTTTCACTTGCCAGTGTATATAAAAGCCTAAAAACATGTTTACACTATTATATATTAAGTGAGTAATAGAGCTTGGCCTAAAAAATGCATTTACAGCACACACACATTACTTTTTTTTTTAACACGTCGGCCATTTCCCACTGAGGCAGGGTGACCCAAAAAGAAAGAGAAAAACCCAAAGAAAGAAAGAAAAGCCCAAAGAAAGAAAGAAAAACCCCAAAAAAGAAAGAAAAAACATTCATCATCATTCAACACTGTCACCATCACTCATATATAATCACTGTCTTTGCAGAGGTGCTCAGATACGACAGTTTAGATGTCCCTCCAAACTGCCAATAACCTTAACCCCTCCTTTAAAGTGCAGGCATTGTACTTCCCATTTCCAGGTCTCAAGTCCGGCTAACCTTAGCTTATAGTGAGTGGTGAATATATTTATTGTAGGAAGTCTGAATAAATGAAAAATGAGTATAATTGAAAACTGCTCTATTAGTGAAATTCTGTAAAGTGAAGATCTGTAGAAGAGCCTGTACTAAGATTCAACAATGATTTGCCTGTTTTCTGAAGTTATACATTGTAAGTTTTCTCTCTGATTAAATGTTGCAGCTTTATATTTTATGTATTACAATCTGCTTTCTTATAAAGCTTCTCTATATAGTGTGGTTTTGTGATTGAAAAATTGCATCCAGAATTGAATAGCACGTGACAAGGTCTTTATATGTTCTACATAGAATAACTTTATACGAGAGATTACTGTAATTTTTGTGCCACGTACTGTCTGATTTCCACTGAAGAAGTCACTGGCTGGTGCAGCCTTTCAGTGATCAAGATTTTCAAATATTGCACAAGTGTCTCTTCAGTTTCCACTCCTTCCCTTTCACCTGTAAACAGTAATTTATTTTGCAACTCAACATTTTTTACACTTCAGTTTTTGAAACATTTTTTACACCTAATTTTTTACACTTCAGCTTTTGTAACTCTTTTTTTTACACTTCATATGGATTTAATGCCTCCCAGTGAATGTAATATCTTTTGTTATCCAAGTTGCTGTATATGATTATTTTTAAATTATAATCTTGTGCTTTATGCTGTGATTAATTCCCTACTCCTCCCAAAATTTGAGTTTTATTTCTTTCAACACCTCAGCTGTCTCTTACCGAGGCACGGTGACCCGTGAAAGAAGAGACAAAAAGTTTCCGTCTTTTTACATGGAATAATAATTTTGAGTTTTTATAACTCAAAAATTTTTACCCCTTAATTCATCTTTTATTCTTGTGGTAGCCAAATTGCTCCATCGATGAAAGCGGTGGAACTTCCTTCCGTGCCAGGCAAAATGCTGTTTGGCAAAGTTGCTGACAAGGCTCATCTGGAGAAAGTGCGAGTTGTGGCGCAGAATTATTTTGATGCGGTTTTAAGCGACGAGAAACTGTCCAGCTCCGAGCTGATATATGCATACTTGTCGCCATCCCCAGAACACTTAAAGCAAGTGCCAATACAACGGAAGAAATCAAAATTCTCATTTTCGACATTCTTCAAAGGGTGAGTATGCTTTATCACTAAGAGCTTGCTGGTTAATTTTGTATTTTCTTCTCATAAGAAAATTCATATACAATACAATAGTTTTTAGTGGTGTATGTGGCACAAATAATGTAGTTTACATGTAGCAAAACATTGGTAGGCATAAAAGAAAGCTACTAGTCTATTTACTGTCATTTCAATAGTACTGTACAGTATATTTCATATTTTTTGCTTGGCAATAAAAAGATTTTTAAATATGTTGTACACCTACCATCCGACTTACAACCTGCTCGACATATGACCATTCGACTTACGACCGTGTTTTGTATGCCAAATTTCTGGGAAATAAACAACTGTTTGTGTTGTACACAGTGTTTATCCTAAACCTTACAGTATAAAATACAGTACTAACAGCATAAAAAGTAAAGTAAAAAATGAATTACCAAAATAAAACAATAAAATAAAGTCATTAAAAAAATGTGATGTTGATATTCAGTAGTATGGTTCGACTTATGTCCATTTCATCTTACGAGCGGTTGGTTGGAACTGAACTCGGTCGTAAGTCGGATGGTACCTGTAATTTTTTTTAACACATCAACCGTTTCCCACCGAGGCAGGTGACCCAAAAAGAAAGAAAAAACTTTCATCATTCAACACTTTCACCGTCACTCATACATGATCACTATCTTTGCAGAGGCCAGTATCCCAAACCTCTCCTTTAAAGTTCAGGCATAGCACTTCCCATTTCCAGGACTCAAGTCTGGCTAACCAGAAATAAGAATTTTGGTGATCACTCCCACAGCCTGGCCAGTATGACTGTATATTGTAATTACATCACAGTAAAGTGAGGAAGCTGGTGTGCTGGTCTCTGTTTTTAACAGAAAAATGTCTAAGAAATATCACCTGAATCATTTCAAATGTCACTAATTCTGTAAAATTATTCTGTATATAATTTTTTATTATCAAATTTTGATCCAGCATATTGTGTCTACCTTGGTTATACAACATTTTGCAAGGTAAGAATAAGAATTTTTTTTTCTTTAACACTGCAGTCATCTCCCACCAAGGCAGGGTGACCCAGGAAAAAAAAGAATGAAAGCTTTTTTTTTTTACATTTAGTAATTTATATGGAAGGGGTTGCTAGCCCTTGATCCTAACAAGATCTAATTCTTTTTTAACACCTTGGCCATCTCCCACTGAGGCAGGGTGACTCAAAAAAGAAAAACATTTTCACCATCATTCACACATAATCACTATGTTTACTTAATGTTCCCTTGGGATGATGGATTTCCTGTCATATTCTGTCATGCAGGATGGGGTTCCTATCATGCTCTATCATGTTGATGGTTTTCTCCTGTCATACTTTCCCTATCATACTCCATCACACAGGATACTTTCCCTGTTATACTCCATCACACAGGATACTTTCCCTGTCATACTCCATCACACAGCATACTTTCCCTGTCATACTCCATCACACAGCATACTTTCCCTGTCATACTTCATCACACAGGATACTTTCCCTGTCATACTCCATCACACAGGACACTTTTCCTGTCATACTTTATCATGCATGGTGATGGTTTTTTATCATCATATATAATTTTTTAAAAGTATATCATTCTTATTCTAGAGGGGATGGTAAGAGTGACAGTGATGAGGAGGAACTTGGGCTGATAATGGATGCTGGGGAGACATCAGCTGATGGAGGGAGTGGAGATGGAGGCAAAGACTCGGTGGCAGAACCGCTCTTCTCATTCCTGGAAGAACTCTGCGAGCTTAGGGGTGTCAGCAAGTGGCTCAGGAAGACTTTGATTTCCTTTGTTCAAATCACATATGGGAAAACAATTACCAAGTAAGTGCTGAAGCTCACTGCTGGTAGGTTGAAATATTTTTTAAATTGGTGCAATGCCGGTCTCAAAATGTCATTAAGAGATAGTTTAATATCTTTATTATGCACCCCATGATGTCGGAGGTAGTCATAAGATTACAGAAGTACATAATAGGTCCAGGCAATGAGCCACAAAGTTTTGATAGCCAAGCAAGTTACAGTGGTAAAGAACTATTTACATGTTTATATCTGGTTACAGTCATGATGAATTATTTATGCAGGCATGAATTAGGTCTCGCCACAGAGAACAAAATTGACAGTGTGCAAAGTCAGGGTATTCTTACAGAATGGTTGGTAATATATCACTGTGGATAAAATACTTCGACATTTTTGACCATTTCTAAGTGAGTTGTCTCAGAATTCATTAATTTTATCACATTCAGCAAGTGTCTTTTAAAACTCATCTATATTTTACAATTTTTCATAAAAATGAGATTCAAATTTGGTTTTACTTACATTAAATTAAACAAATTCAGATGTAAATAAGACAACCTACTTTATAGTCTGTGTCTAGTTCTTAGATAACATTTAAGCATTAGAATTAGTTTGCCTGAAACACATTGCATAATTTGTGGTTTTCTGTTGTGCCTTCCTATGTTTTATTACATGTAACCTAAATTATTTTTTTTATAACAAAGAAATAACTATTATAGAACAAGTGTATCCACAATTGACTACCACACATGCTGTTCAATTTTGAATGTACAGTAGAACCCCTCATATCTATTGATTTGTTATCCATGGTTTCAGTTATCCACAGTTTACTGGGGCCAAAAAATACTTCTTCATTTTCCATAATAATGGCCTCAGAGTGCAAAAGTAGAGAAGCTGGCAGTTGTTCAAAGCCTAAGAGAAGCCATGAAGTGATTCCTGTCAGTGAAAAAGTGATAATTCTCCACTTGTGCATAATTTATCAATTTAACTTTATAATATTTTCTTGTTCTTATTCTTTTTAGTAATCATTACAGGAAAAGGGGTTACTAGCCCATTGCTCCCGGCAATTTAATTGACTTTTACAACACGCATGGCTTACGGAGGAAAGATTCTTATTCCACTTCCCCATGGATATAAAAACAAAAGTACTAGGAACAAGAAATATTAAGATAAAATCAAAGAAAACTCAGATGAGTGTGTATAAAAAAAGTGTACATGTATGTATAGTGTGACCTAAGTGTAAGTAGAAGTAGCAAGACGTACCTGTAATCTTGCATATTTATGAGACAGACAAAAGACACCAGCAATCCTACCATCATGTAAAACAATTACAGGCTTTCGTTTTACACTCACTTGGCAGGACGGTAGTACCTCCCTGGGTGGCTGCTGTCTACCAGCTTACTACCGGTTATTTTTATATAGCCGGACTTGAGTCCTGGAAATGGGAAGTACAGCCTGCATTTAAAAGGAGAAGTTTGGAATATTGACAGTTTGGAGAGATATGTTGTGTATCTTTATACGTATATGCTTCTAAACTGTTGTGTTCTGAGCACCTCTGCAAAAACAGTGATTATGTATGAGTGAGGTGAAAGTATTGAATGATGATAAAAGTACAGTGGTCCCTCGTTTTTCGTAATTAATCCGTTCCTGGAGGAGCTACTATAAACGAAATTTACGATTTGCGAATCAATTTTCCCCATAAGAAATAATGTAAATACAATTAATCCATTTCTGACACTCAGAAGTATTAAAACAAAAAAATTTTTTACATGAAATATACATGTAGTACATAAACAATACAATGGGAAATGATGAATGAAACATTAACAGCATAACACTTACCTTTATTGGAGATTCTTCTTAGTGTATGGGAGACTGGAGGAGGAGAGAGATTGGATTGTTTACAGTTTGGAAGGGAAATCCCCTTCCAGCAACACCTCAGGTACCAATTGCTTCTCTGGGGTTGCTTCTCTTCTCTGTTTCTTAATGCCACTAGGACCACCTTGAGAGTCACTCTAGTCCTGTCTCGCAAAGTAACTGTGGAGAGAGCTCTGTTTCTGGCGTCTCTTTAACACTTCCCTAAAATGGTACAAGACTTTGTCACTGTACATATTTCTCACCTTCTTTATCACAGGCTTGGCACTAGGAGCTTTCTTTGGAGCCATGGTATCTTATTTAGTACTTGCAAGCACTAAAATGAGTGGAATATTATGAAATATTTCGTAGGAGCACTTGAGGGGACCTTCACTCACTGGTAAACAATGCCAGACTGGCTGGGTAGGGAGGCCTCCCCGGCTCACACCATGCGTAAGCGTCCTGGACGAACTACTATTCACGAGTCATCCTATGAAAAGCGAGTCCATGTTTATACAAAAATACCCCTATGATTGGCGAAATTTACGATTGCCGAGAACTACGAAAAGTGAGGGACCACTGTATTTTATTTTTGGGGATTTTCTTTCTTTTTGGGTCACCCTGCCTCAGTGGGAGACTGCCGACTTGTTAAAAAAAAAAAATTATAATAGGTATGTATAGGGTAGGTAGTAGGTTGGTAGACAGCAACCATCCAGGGGGGTACTACCGTCCTGCCAAGTGAGTGTGAAACGAAAGCCTGTAATTGTTTTACATGATGGTAGGATTGCTGGTGTCTTTTGTCTGTCTCATAAATATGCAAGATTACAGGTACATCTTGCTACTTCTACTTACACTTAGGTCACACTACACATACATGTACAAGCATATATATACACACCCCTCTGGGTTTTCTGCTATTTTCTTTCTAATTCTTGTTCTTGTTTATTTCCTCTTATCTCCATGGGGAAGTGGAACAGAATTCTTCCTCCGTAAGCCATACGTGTTGTAAGAGGCAACTAAAATGCCGGGGGCAAGGGGCTAGTAACCCCTTCTCCTGTATATATTACTAAATGTAAAAGGAGAAACTTTTGTTTTTCCTTTTGGGCCACCCTGCCTCGGTGGGATACGGCCGGTGTGTTGAAAGAAGAAGAAAGGTATGTATAGGCCTTATATATAGGGTTTGCTACTATCCACAGTTTTGGTATCCATGGCAGGTCCTTGGAATGTATCCCTTGTGGATACAAGGATCCTACTATACTCTTTCAGTTGTATTTACAAAAGCATGCTGCTGTATAAAGAGGAGCTTCATAAAAGAGCTGACTACACTTCAGACTGAAACAATAATCCATTGAATGTGTGACACTGGTAAAAGGCTTTTGATCCAAGGAATTGGAGATACCCTCCCCTTCCTCAGCTCAAACCTGATTACCTCCCAACCCCCAGGCACTGTGTAACTCATAGGGATTTAGCACTTCCTACAGTACTCAAAATAGCAAGGGTCACCCCGATCCACAAAGGAGGAGACCAAACAGAGTTGAATAACTATAGGCCAATATCCAACTTACACCCTCTCTCAAAAATCTTCGAAAAATTAATTCATAAACGAATCTACTCCTACCTTATCTCCCAAAACATACTCAACCCCTGCCAATTTGGATTCAGGCCTAATAAAAATACTAATGATGCTATTATACACATGCTAGAACATATATACACTGAAATAGAGAAAAAAGAAGTCCCACTGGGGATCTTCATTGACTTACGTAAAGCTTTTGATCAGTTGACCATGACTTGCTCCACGAAAAAATTGTCACCTAGGTATAAGAGGGCCCCTCCCTAAACCTACCTCAAGTCATACCTCAGCAACAGAAGCCAATATGTGTACGCAAATGGGGCAAACTCTTCTGCGCAACCAATTACATTTGGGTGTCCCACAGGGAAGTGTCCTTGGCCCTCTTCTCTTTCTCCTATACATAAATGACCTTCCAAATGCTTCGCAATTACTCAAACCCACACTATTTGCAGATGACACTACATACGTCTTCTCTCACCCGAGCCCAGTCACGCTAGCCAATACTGTAAATACCGAATTCCCAGAAATATTACCTGGATGAGGGACTAACAAACTTACACTAAACATTGACAAAACCTACTTCATTCAGTTTGGTAACAGAGCTACAGATGTCCCTCTTAACCCTTTGAGGGTCGACAGGCCCTCTCCGAAACTCGTTCTCAGGGTCGGCCAAATTTCAAAAAAAAAACAATTATTTTTTCTTATGAAAAAATAGAGTTTTTTTTCTAAACATTATAGGATAAACAAAAATTTTTACCATCAATACTTACGGAGATATGGATGCATGAATTTGCAGAAAATGACCCGCGTTATGAAAACAGCGGCGACTGCCGCTCACCAGTAAACTTTGATTTACTTGTATTTGAAGGTTTGTTGTTTTTTTCACTATTTTTTTTTTTTCACATAACTTATGTGGCCTATGAGACCAAAGTAAGGTGCAATGTACATATTACACTCATTGTATACAACACAATAAGCACACAAACATAATTATCAATATTTGTTACAAAACTTGTTTACAAAAACAAAAACAATACAAAACATTGTTTTTTTATTATTGTTCTATAATATATATACCAATATACAGTCACTGAACATATTCCTATTAGTTCTGCAGCTTGTGGAACTCTGAAACTGGTGTCATACACAATGGTGTTTTATCTTTCTCCCTCATTCTATCTCTTTCAATCTGCTCTCTCTTTCTATCTGTCTGTCTATCTCTTTTCTCACAGGTACACAAAAATACAAGTATCATAGTGTAAATTACCAGGATAACCCAAGAAACCCAGACAAAGTGCTATACTCTGCTTGAAGATGTGAGTAAAAGTGATGATGCAGTCTTGTGGCTCTCTGAGACAGAGAGCTAGATGGATAGACAGGGAGCTTGACAGACAGGCAAATAGACAGACAGAAATGTTAGTATACCAGCAAAAACAAAGGGAGGGCGATGTTCATCTCATCTTTTGGCATCAGCTCTTACCCTCAATTTTCCCTCATCAAACGTCAGCACTTATCAGATGTTATCTCCCCTTATCTTGTTACGTCATGGGTGAACATTTATTATTACATATTATTATTATTACCTATTATTATTATGTATTATTATTATTATTATGTATTATTATTATGTATCATTATTATTTTTGTATTATTATTATGTATTATTGTTATCATTACGTATTCTTCTTCTTCCTCCTCCTCCTCCCCCTCTTCTCCTCCTCCCCCTCTCCTCCTCCTCCTCTTTTCCTCCTCCTCCTCCCCCTCTTCTTCTTCCTCTCCTCCCTCCTCCCCCCTCCTCCTCTGCCTCCTCCTCCTCTTGCTCCTCCTCCTCTTGCCTCCTCCTCCTCTTGCCTCCCCCCTCCTCTGCCTCCTCCTCCTCTGCCTCCTCCTTCTCTGCCTCCTCCTCCTCCTCCTTCTTGGAACAAGTTTGAAGAGCTTTGTAGTTCATAATCACTATCATTATCCCTCCCAATTTCTCACATCTGAGTCTGGGATTTTGGAAAATAGGAGTTTCCTCTTTGTTTCTGGTACAACTGAACGACGGCCCAGCACCAGAAGGTGGAAGCTGTGGGTTTTTCTGGGTTTTCCTCCACTATTACCATATTATGGTCATTAGTTTCGGTCAAAACCTCACCAGAACCTTGAAACTCATCTTCACTGTCACTTCCATCTGTTATTAGAACTGTCACGGGGAAAAAAGTGTCCCAATTCGCCGAGGAGTGAGGAACTTCTTACCGAGGGCATGTGGAAATTGTTTTACTATGTTGGCATTCCCACAATGCACCACTGGGTCCCAGATTTTTTTTCTATGCGCACACCCACCACACAGACCCATTCTCTCACATTAGGCTTATCAGCCCTTTTTCCCGCGAGATTTGAGGCCGCTAGAATTTATGAGTACTAGTACGTCAAAAACCCCTACGCGTAAGACGTACTAGTACGACCAAAGCCCTCAAAGGGTTAACATAATGATAAACGGATCACCTATCACAAAGCTAACAGAGGGAAAATTCTTAGGAATCCACCTTGATAATAGACTCAAATTTCATACACATTATACAACAAATTTCTAAGAAAATTTCCAAGACTGTAGGCATACTATCGAAGATATGGTATTATGTTCCACAGTCAGCCCTCCTGGCCCTATATCACTCTCTTATTTACCCCTATCTCACCTATGGAATTTGTGCATGGGGCTCAACAACAATTAACCATCTCAGACCACTAATTACCCAACAAAAGGCTGCAGTTAGAAGGATAACAAATTCTCACTACAGGCAGCACACTCCATCAATATTCAATACACTAAACCTACTCACCATACAAAACATTCATACTTATTACTTCACCTATTACATACATAGAACATTAACTCTGATATTAACCCTCCCCTCAAACCATCCTCCTGCCAACCTCAAAAGAACACATGACCATAACACAAGGCACAGATCACTCTTTGATGTTTCTCGTGTCCATCTCACACTATGCAAAAACTCAATGCACAAAAAGGCCCTAAAATCTGGAATTCATTACCTGTAAATATAAAAGAAACACTACTGTTTATAAATTCAAGTCTCTTCTCAAAGATCACTTACTCACCCAAAACCAAATAAATACTGAATAACTGAACCTTGTAAATTGTATATCTTAAATGTTTCTCACAATTATATCACATAATGTTAAACCTAAAACCCAATCTAACTTTATTTTTTTAAATACACTACCCAACAGAATACTCATACGACTGAATGTACAACAATGCATGCAACCATATGATCTGTCTTTGTAATACTCATTTGTGCTTTATAGTTATCTGTTTACAATAATGTATTATCACTGATTTCATCATTGCTTAGTTAATTTTAAGCCAGCCCGAAATGCTATGCATAGTATAAGTGGCTTTGGCATGCTGCTCTTATCTGTATTTTTTTGTACCTCTGTATGTATGCTCAAATTGTAAATAAATAAATAAAAATAAACAATAATAACAACATACGCCCTCTCCTCACTTAGCGACTTCTCATTTACTGATGACTTGGACTTATGACAGATTCTCTGACCAATATGCATACCTAAATAATGTATATTATAGTTGATTTCCTCTATTCTGTTTTATACAATATACAGTGCACTACTGTATAAACATTTAAAAATGTACCAGAAATGTTATAAATGATGCAAAGGTGACATTAAAACAACATCAAAGATGGTTGACACAAACCCACTACCATTATAGCATGCTTCTCACTTAGTGACGAATTCATTTACCAACGTGGTCTTAGGAAGAAAACTCTGTCGTTAAGTGAGGAGAGGCTGTATTGTATGCATTGTAATTCAAAGCACCACTAAGATAGAAAAACTTTTTTTTATAATTCATTACTTTTATTTAATGAAATTAAATATTTTCAGACATGTGCGAGAAACTGTATCAGGCATGCTGAGCGAGTCAATGGTCCTCTACTACATGCACACAGTGAAAGACAATCTTTGGCCATCACATAACGAGTTGCAAGCCATCCGTCAAGCACGCACAGAGGATGACAAACTTAGAACAAGGTTGCATACAGTCATTGTATTTCTTTTTTTTTTTCAACATGTCGGCCGTCTCCCACCGAGGCAGGGTGACTCAAAAAAGAAAGAAAATCCCCAAAAAGAAAATATTTTCATCATCATTCAACTCTTTCACCTCACTCACACATAATCACTCTTTTTGCAGAGGTGCTCAGAACACAACAGTTTAGAACCATATATGTATAAAGATACACAACATATCCCTCCAAACTGCTAATATCCCGAACCTCTCCTTTAGAGTGCAGGCATTGTACTTCCCATTTCCAGGACTCAAGTCCGGCTATATAAAAATAACCGGTTTCCCTGAATCCCTTCACTAAATATTACCCTGCTCACACTCCAACAGATCGTCAGGTCCCAAATACCATTCGTCTCCATTCACTCCTATCGAATACGCTCATGCACGCCTGCTGGAAGTCCAAGCCCCTCGCCCACAAAACCTCCCTTACCCCTTCCTTCAAACCTTTTTGAGGACGACCCCTACCCCGCCTTCCTTCTCCTACAGATTTAAATGCTCTCCATGTCATTCTACTTTGATCCATTCTCTCTAAATGACCAAACCACTTCAACAACCCCTCTTCAGCCCTCTGACTAATACTTTTATTAACTCCACACCTTCTCCTAATTTCCACACTCCGAATTTTCTGCATAATATTTACACCACACATTGCCCTTAGACAGGACATCTCCACTGCCTCCAACTGCCTCCTTGCTGCTGCATTCACAACCCAAGCTTCACACCCATATAAGAGTGTTGGTACTACTATACTTTCATACATTCCCTTCTTTGCCTCCATAGATAACGTTTTTTGACTCCACATGTACCTCAATGCACCACTCACCTTTTTTCCCTCATCATTTCTATGATTAACTTCATCCTTCATAAATCCATCCGCTGACACGTCAACTCCCAAGTATCTGAAAACATTCACTTCTTCCATACTCCTCCTCCCCAATTTGATATCCAATTTTTCTTTATCTAAATTATTTGATACCCTCATCACCTTACTCTTTTCTATGTTCACTTTCAACTTTCTGCCTTTACACACACTCCCAAACTCATCCACTGACCTTTGCAATTTTTTTTAGAATCCCCCATAAGCACAGTATCATCAGCAAAAAGTAACTGTGTCAATTCCATTTTGTATTTGATTCCCATAATTTAATCCTGCCCCTCTCCGAACACCCTAGCATTTACTTCTTTTACAACCCCATCTATAAATATATTAAACAACCATGGTGACATTACACATCCCTGTCTAAGACCTACTTTTACCGGGAAGTAGTCTCCCTCTCTTCTACACACCCTAACCTGAGCCTCACTATCCTCATAAAAACTTTTTACAGCTTTTAGAAACTTACCGCCTATTGCATATTTGCAACATCTGCCCTTGCTCCCTATCCACTCTTCATATCCCTTTTCTAAATCCATAAATGCGTAAAAAATTCCCCTTCCTTTATCTAAATACTGTTCACATATATGTTTTCAATGTAAACATTTGATTACAACCCCCTACCCACCAAAAAACCTCCTTTGTCACCCGCAATCCTACATTCTGTCTTCCCTAATTTTTTTCAATTATGACCCTCCCGTACACTTTTCCTGGTATATCAGTAAACTTATTCCTCTATAATTTTTACAGCTCTTTTCCCCCTTCCCTTTTATAAGGGATTACACATGCCTTCCCAATCCCTAGGTATCTTCCTTTCTTTCATACATTTATTAAACAAAATCCCAACCACCCAACACTATGCCCCCCCTGCTTTTAAAATTTTAGTCATGATCCCATCAGTTCCAGCTGTTTTTCCCCTTTTCTTTTACGTAATGCCTCAGTACCCCCCCCCACACTTTACTGGTTCTTCTTCACTCCTAAAAGATGGTATACCTCCCTGGCCAGTGCATGAAATTACCGCCCCCCTTTTTCCTCAAATTTAAATTCCTCAAAAAATACGCGCCTTACCAAATACCCCCCCTTCCCATCTACAAACTCCCCTCTCTTTTTTTAAACTGACAAATCCAACGTCCTTAGGCTTTCTTAACTTGTTTAACTCCATTTTTTTTTTTCATTTCTTGACAGTGCCTCCCCACCTATCTTGCTCCCCTTTTGCTTCTCTCACAATTCTTTCACCTTTTTTTTACCTCCATATCTCTGCTTTCTTAAACACTGTTTGTAAAAACCCTATAAGCTAATTTTTTCTCTTTTATAAACCCCCTTTACTTCATCTTCCACCAATCACTCCCTTTCCTCTGCCCCCACCCCTTAACCACAATTTTCCCCACATTTAATTCTGCATTTTTAAACTCATCCAACCCTCTTTAACCCCCCACTATCATTTTTGGGCACTACCCCACCTTTTCCCAAATAGGCTTATATCTCACTTAAAATTCCTCCCCCCTTATTTTTATACACTTTCATTCCCTCCTCTTGTTGCCCCTTCCTCTTGTCCCATCTACCTCATACTCTAACTGTAGCTACAACTAAATATGTCCGATATATATGCCCCTCTATAAAACATGTACACCCGGGAGCCTACCCATAACTTTTACCCACCAATACAAATTTTAACAAACTATTTCTTACGTGCTACATATACCTTTATATTTATTTATCCTCTTTTTTAAAAAATATGTATTCTTATTACCAAATCTCTTTTCCCATGTCAATTAACCCTTTGGGGTTTTGGGGGGACGTATAGTCGGTTACGACCCAGGGTTTTTGACGTACTATTCCCCAAAAATTTTTAGCGCTCTCAAATCTATGGGAGAAAGTGGTAGCCCTTCATATGAAAGAATGGGTTATGTGGCGTGTCACAGTCTAAAAAAAATCCTGCACCCACACAGTGAAAATAGAAAAAAAAAAACTTTGACCATTTTTTTGGAATAAAACAGCGATTTTACACTGTATTTTCGATGGTATTTATTGTTGTATTCTAGTTTTTTTGGTCTATTTTTATAAAAGGAAGAAATTTTACAGAAATTGAGATGATTTTGATGGTTTTTTAAAATGAAAGGTACCTGAAATTGGTCAAATTAGAAAGAAATGTTCGATTTTTCCCCAAAGTTCAAAAGTAAACAAAATGCCAAGAGTGAAATTTACACGTCAATGGTGAGTCAAATTTTCTTTCAAAAGAGCACCAATAATTTTTTAACGATTTTTTACAATAATGCAGTGTCTGCATAACAGTAATTTTATTTTTTTTTTTAGAAATAAAATTTTCAAAGGGAAAGCAAAAAAAATTTAAGAGGGGCCTTGGGGACGTGACAATTTTGCCCGGGGAAAAATTCATTTTAGTGCCGGAATGCTTTCTTGTTTATTCTGGCCCTATTCGGAAATTGGCATCTTTTGAAATTTGTGTGAAATTGGCAAAAATTGCTAAATTCTGACCACTGTACTAATTTAAATTTTCATAAAGGGGTGGTTTTTTTCACCCATTCGTAAAAAATACAGTTCAACGAATATTCTTTTTTTTTGTCGACTGTACAGAGGAATTTGTCGAAAAGGGGGGTCAAGTGGGAAATTGCCGTGCGTAAAAATCGCCGGACCCTAACTTTGCGAGAGCATAATTCCGTAAGTTTTCCTTCAAATTTTAAACTTTTGGTGTCGTTATGACGGGAAAAGATTCTTATTTTTTCATAAGAGAAAAAAATTTTTTTTTTTTTTTTAAAATTTGGGCCCCGCCCCTAAAAACGAGTTTGGGAGGGGCCTGTCGCCCCCAAAAGGGGTTTAAAAGGTCCCCATTTCCCCCTGGCACCCCAAATTTACCTAATACCCCTCCACAAATTTTTACCTTTTTTTGCTTTGAAATCCCAACCACAAGTACTCTCACACTTGGTTCAAAATTCCCCACGCATTCACTCAATTTTTCCCCAAAATCTCTCTCTCCTCTCACTTCTCTCTTCCCCATTGCATATACATTTACTATAACCCACTTTTCAACCCAACCTTTTTTTTAAACCCAATAATCCTTGAATTAATACATTTATAGCCATTTTTCCTGCCATTCTTACCCTTCAAAATTATTGCTACTCCTTTTTTAGCTTAATCTTTTTAAAACCCCCTGACCTAACCCCATTTTTCCTCTCCCCCTAAAACTCTCCCACCCCTTCACTTTGTTTCAAAAAAAAGGGGGCCCCATCCCCCCTCCTCTCATTCTAACATCCACAATCATTTTTCTTTCTTTGCCAAGCCCCACGCAGTTCAGACTTCCCATTTTGAAAATTTTCTTTTCATATTCTTTTTAGAAATTTTTAAAGGGAAAAAGGGTTATACCCCCTTTTTCCCCGGCTTTTTTAGTTGACTTTTACAACCGCTGTTTTACGGGGGAAAGATTCTTTTTCACTTCCCCAGGGATATAAGGGAAAAAGTAATAGACAAAAAATTTAAGATAAATCAAAGAAAACTCAGATGAGTGAGTATTTATTTTTTTTTTAACATGGGGGCCATCTCCCATTGGGGCGGGTACCCAAAAAAAAAAACACTTTCCCAAATTCACACTATGACGTTTGCCAGGGGCAGCAGTACTATTTTTTCTAAGCAAAGCCTTTCAAAAATACTTGCTATTTGTGGGTGAGGTGGGGATATTTGCAGTTTTTAAAGTAGTACGTGCACCTCTGGAAAGGGACAGTGATGGAGTGAGTGAGGGTAAAAGTATTTCTTCTTTTGGGTCCCCCTACCTTGGTGGGAGACGACTGGAGGATTAAAAAAAAAAAAAGGGGAGAGAGTGATTGAATGAATAGGGTGAGAGCTTTTCCCAAATTTTTTTTTTTTCGGGTCCCCCCTTAGGGGAAGATCTGCACTATGAATTTTAAAAAAGCTGAAGCCTCAGGGCCCCTAACCCCTGAGGGCGGCAGAAGCAACTTTAGCCCACATTGCTTAAAAATTTTTGGGGTCTGCTGTATGAAAAGGGTTTTTAAAATAATAATAATAATAAAAATAAATGTGTAATTCAATACAGAAGTGAAGGTGGTGTGACTGGTGTGGGTGACCCTGGGGCTTTAAACCCTAATTGACCTAAAAATGCTCTTTTAAAAGGGGTTTCTTTAGTATATATCATTAAGTCAACTAGGGTCTGATAGTTTACATGTAATTGTAGAAATAAAGATTTTCTTCTTCTTTCAAAAACCCGGCCGTATCCCCCCGAGGCGGGGGGGCCCCAAAAAAGGAAAAACGAAAGTTTCCCCTTTTACATTTTGAAATTAATGAGAAAGGGTTTACTACCCCTTGCTCCCGGGCTTTTTAGTCACCTCTTAAAACAACAGGGGCTTACGGGGGAAAATTTCTTTTCCCATTTCCCCCCATGGGGGTAAGGGAAATAAACAAGAAAGAACTAAAAGAAAATAGAAGAAACCCGAGGGGTGTATTTATGTTTGTTCAGTATGGTAGTGGACCAAAGTGGAAGTAAAAGTAGCAAGACGTACCTGAAATCTTGCATTGTATGAACAAAAAAAAAAAAAAAGACACCGCAATCCACCATCGTTAAAACAATTACAGGCTTCATTTTTTAACTCATTTGACAGGGGTTGTACCCCCGGGGGCGGTTGCGTCTAAAACCTACTCCCTAGGTTTTGATTTTTAATTATATATGTTGTTTACTTTTTTGTGTGTTGCTTAGGTGAGAGTGTAGAGGTGTCGGAATTTTGCACCTCTGTCCATCTTCACCCAAGATTGAACTGGGTTCCTTCGTTGCCAAAGAATGCATCCCAGTGCTGTGTGGGCTCACATTAAGGATAATTTTTTTTTTTTTTTTTTGTTTTTAAATACAATTATTATTAATTTTTTTTAACTACTCTGTCCCTGCCAAAGAAAGAGAAGACACTTTCACCATTATTCATTAGTCATTGCATTGCCCAGAATATGCTGAGTAGTTTTTATTTTAAATTTTTGTTATAACTAGTGTGGGAAATAAATTCCATACTGAAATTTTACTTGTGTGATGTTCCAACGTAATGTATGTTAATGTTTAGGGGGGCATCGTGTCCAAATGTTTGTATCAAAAAAATGTAGTTTTCTTTCTCTCTCTCCTCTCAGATTGAAGCTCGGGGCAGTTTG